TCGGGACCAACTCTAAAGGAATCGTTCAGCTCGGGACCAACTCTAAATGAATTGTTCACCTCGGGACAAACTATATGAATCGTTCACCTCATGACCGACTCTAAATGAATCATTCACCTCAGGACCGACTCTAAACGAATCGTTTTCCTCGTGACCGACTCTAAATGAATCGTTCACCTCGGGACAAACTATATGAATCGTTCACCTCGGGACCGACTCTAAATGAATCGTTCACCCCGGGACTAACTCTAAATGAATCATTCACCTCAGGACCGACTCTAAATGAATCGTTTTCCTCATGACCGACTCTAAATGAATCGTTTTCCTCGTGACCAGCTCTAAATGAATCGTTCATCTCGTGACCGACTCTAAATGAATCGTTCACCTCGTGACCGACTAAATGAATCATTCATCTCGTGGCCAACTCTAAATGAATCATTCACCTCAGGACCGACTCTAAATGAATCGTTTTCCTCGTGACCGACTCTAAATGAATCGTTCACCTCAGGCCCGACGCTCATGTCTGCCGTTGCTCTGTTCACAACCTGCGAGCGTTTCTGGATCAGTTCTGACTTTCTTTCTCTTCCAGCTGTGGATCCCTGCAGCCCAGATGTTCGCAGGCGACTGCTGGAACGCTGTGACATCACTTCCTGTCCAGACTTGTTCTCAGAGCCCCGCCCCCTCCCTGATGTTGCGGAGAACAGTGTTCTGGACTTGGGTAATTATTTTAAATATCTGTGGATCGACATTTATCTGAAAATGAAAATAAAAAAATCAAAGATGAAACAAGTTAAATGGACCTGAGTTATCTGAAGGTTATTTATTTATCCAAATATTTTTTTTAATCATTAAAAATTAACGATTTATAAACATCAGTGCACTAATTTAAAATATTAAATGTTCTTATTGTAATAAACGTATAAACAACTAAACTAGCTGCTCAAGTCAGATTAAACTAATTTATTTTAAAAATCAACTCAGAAAACAACCACTTCTCTTTTTTATCATAAATGTAATGAAAAAGAATAAAAAATAAATTAAATCAAAAACTAATTACTGGGGAAGACAGAGAATGTCTGTTTGTGTTAGCAAAATATCTCAAGACCCAGTGGACAGATTTAATGAAGCTCTTAAAGAAATCGTCGTCCTCTACAACGGGTCACATCTGGAGTCGTTCTAGTTCAAGATGGCCGCCACAGCTAGTTGTGCCAACAGAACTTACAGATGATGAGCTGAAGATCCTGTGGTAGTAGCTGACGGTTATTCTCAACACATACTCTGAGCATTAACACGTCTTGTGAAGTGTGGCTTTGGGGCCATCTTGAATTAAATATCATGAGAGGTGATTTTGTCCAGGAAATCTCCTTCTGGTCAGAACGATGGATTAATTTAATGACGATCAGTTCGTTCTTTGTTTCTGTGATCGTCGAGCTGCAGCGAGCTGAGAGCAGGAAGAGATTTGAGAAAAAAGTTTTATTTCTCCGAGGATCAGTTTTTGGACAAACCGACGTGTTTTGTTTCGTCCACCAGGGGGCAGCACGTTCTCCATCCACTCCAGATGTTTGGACAGAAGCAGTTTCTCCATCTTTAGAGGAGAAACCGAAAGCGAGCACGTTCTCCTCAAGGTGACCTTGGTTCAAACAAGCCTGCGCCGACACCGGGGGTCTCTGACCCCGCCCTCGGTCTTTATGCCCCGTTTATGATGCTGACAGGTGGGTTCTTGTGCTTACCTGCCGCAGGTGGACAGCTGTTCCGTTCCCTGGGATTTTTATCAGTTCCATCGTTTGAAGAAGAGCTCAGCAGCTGCTGACAAACTCCCTCACGTCAGCTGTTTCCTGTTCCTGGACGGCTGCGTCACCGTTTATACCTCGCCGCCGGATCACATGCTCACTGTGAGTCAGATCCTGGATCCTTTCATCTGGATCTGTTAATCTGGTTCCATTATTCTGGATCTGTTAATCTGGTTCCATTATTCTGGATCTGTTAATCTGGTTCGATTAATCTGGATCTATTAGTCTGGATCTATCCATATGGATCTGTTAATCTTGGTCTGATAATCTGGATCTGTTAATCTTGGTCTGATAATCTGGGTCTGTGAGTCAGCAGGAAGTTGTTTTGTGTCCCAGGAGCTGACAGGATGTAACTCCGAGGCGTCAGTTTGTCGTAGAGTCCTGGCGCTGCTGCACTTGGTGCTGCAGCTTCACTCCTGCGGGCTGCTGCATGCGGCGCTGCAGCCCAGCACTCTCACCTCCTGCCACAGGTAGGTCACCATGGGGGTGAGGGGGGGGCTGATCCGCAGGTCTGAGCTTCACGGTTCTCTCTGCAGATGTTTCCAGGAGTCTGACTGGGTCTTCCCAGTGGATTGGTCGTCCTCAGTGGACCTCGACCTCCAGCCGGACGTCACGTCGGTCCAGCTGCTCCCTTCAGCCCAGACCTACGTCGGGCTGGGTCTCCTCCAACCAACCGACCCCCCACACATGGTACAAACCTTCTCACTCAGTCAAAACCCAGCATCTTTCACGTCAGATTCTTCTAATCCCGGCCTGTTACTCCCTGTCAGCTGGACCTGGTGGGCGTGGCAGAAACAGTCCACTTCCTCCTGACCAACAGCAGGATGGTCCCAGTGAGGGACGCCGGCATCTGGACGGCAGAGCGCTTCTGTGGAGACGAGCCTTGGTACCTACAGACAACTGATTTACCTGCTTATTTAACCTCCTAATCTGGCCTAATCTGACTTGGTAACCTCTGGGACAGTACATTTTGGTGTGTCTGGTTTATTAATTAGGGTTCATTTAATCTGGTAAAGTGGTAATTTAGGCAGGTATCTTTAGTTAATCTGTTTATCCCACCAGATGAATTAGGTTTATTTTAACAGAGAAATGAGATTATCTGTTCCGGTAAATGGCTTCATTTTAGGCTGGTCATTGGGTAATACAGTCTAATTGAATCGAGTAATTAGAGTAGCTTATTCTGGTCAGCAGAGTTTATCTCATTCAGTTGTTATTTCAAGTGGAACTGGGATTATCTCGTCTTAACATGTGTGTAATATGGTATCTGTGGGTATTTTGTGTTGTTAGTCTGGTAAATTGTGTAATCTCACATTAGGTGTAGATTCTGCTGAAGTGAGTAAAGTTCACGTCAGTTTAAATTACGCCTCCTCTGCCTCGCAGTGACGTGTTCGATGCGACGTGGAGGAGAGTTTTCCGCTCGCTGCTGAACGCCGGCGGCCGCTCGTCTGTGTCCGTCCTGTCCGAGCTGAAGCAGCAGGTGTCCTCGCTCCACCTGTAGAACATCAACTTTTACTCTTTATCTTTTCAACATGTTCCACTGTCAATAAATTAAAAATACTTTTTTTTTTCTGTCAGCTTCACTTCTGAACCTTCCAACTGCCTCAGAAACTGAAAGAGATTTTCTTCAAATGTCAGTAATCTGACCTGAACGTACCTGTCCTGTTATTTAAAGACTTTGTGCAATAAACAAATGCATTTTTAGGAACAGAACATTAAGAACATCTTGTAAAAAAGGTTTCACGTCACTGAAATGATCATTAGGTGCAGTAACAGGAAGTGATGTCAGAGGAACGCCTGCATGTAAACAGGCAGCGGAGGAGAGTCTGAGGGTTCTTTACATTGTTTGAGTTTATCAGAGATGAAGACTCAAGTTTCAATAAAGAAAGAGCAGGAAGTTCCTCTTTGATGTCACTTCCTGTTTCAATTTGGCTGCGCCAAGATCAAAAGAAAATAAACTAGTTATGTGACAAAAGGGTAAAATTGTGTGTTAATCGTGTGTTTTGCAAAATGTCTTAAATATTAAGATGTTATACATTGGTCATGTCACGGGAGCTTTGAAGTTCTGGTTCTGACCCAACGGGGGGCTCCTGAAGCAGCTGATCCTTTCAAAATAAAACTCTTCAAATGTTTTGAAGTTTTGCTCAGAAGCTGCAAACATGAACCAGTAACTGAAGCTCCAGTGGGATTATTTCACATGTTAAACCAGTTTGTAGTGAAAATAATTCAGAGTTGAATAAACTAGGACACAAACAGAAGCAAAGTATTTGTTTCTTCACGGCTGCGGAGGAGGAGCGGCGAAGTGCGAGCGCTTTCAGCTGTGATGTGGAGAGGCTGTCGAGTCCCGTCCTGCTGGGCCCGAGGCGGGAGCGAGGCGTGCTGCAGCCTGCACAGACTCCTCCTGATCCCTCCCTTTGTTTCCTCACCTCCACCTGAGGGCAGCCGCAGCTGCATCGTCTCGCTTAATCAGTTTACATACGAACGAGCTGCAGCTCAAAACCTGAGATATCGTTCAGAACATCTGATCTGAGAGCAGTGTGCAGCTCTGATCTCTGAATCCATAAAGCTGCTTTGAATTGAAAGAGCTCCGCCCCCTCCCCTCACCTGGGACCAGGTGAGACGGGGATGAGGGATGTGGGAGGAGGGAGGAGAATGACGAGCAGTAGAGAGAAGGAACCGCAGGAGAACGGCAGAAATCCTGGACTCTGCACCAGGTGAGTGTTGGATTCGACTGGAAACTGGTCTAAAATATGTTCTACGGGTTCTACTGGGCTTTCCCTGTGGGGAACCCTGCTGTGGGATATTTACAGAACTTTAACAGACCATTTAAAGGTTCCTTGTTCAAGAACCATGTGGTGTGCTGCTGCAGCTCTTCAACAGGCCGAAGGAACCAGGTTTGGGTTCCCAGTAAGGTTCAGGACCCCACTGGGACTGGGTCAGGTCTGGGTTTCTGAGATGATCAAACACGATTAATAGAACAATGATCAAACGGGTAAGAATGGAAGAATATGATTTACATGTTGGTGAAGTCTGCATCGTTCACTGAAGGGTATCGGGTCAAAGGTCACTGGCATTATTTTGTGGGGTCAGGAGCTGAAAGGTTCTGCAACCCGGGCCCAATGGAACCAGTTCCAGGTGTGTTGAAGCTTCGTGTCACGGCTGCTCTGCTGCAGTCAACGGATCTGTTTGAACAGACTCGGTGTGAAGCAGCAACTGAGTTGAGGACAGCAACTGCTGGTTGACATCTGACCTCGTTGTTGCTTCTGTTGAGCAA